ACAGGTAACACCAAGCACCCACACAAGGGACAATCATATAGCATACAAGTACCACCAAAACACCCACACAACGGACCGTTACATAGCATACAGGGAACACCAAAACACTCACACACCAGACACTCACATAGCATACAGTAGCATTCAGGTTACACCAGACACCCATACAAGTGATCACATCACATACAGGTAACACCAAGCACCCACACAAGGGACACTCTCATAGCATACAGGTAACAGCAAACACCCACACAAGGACACTCACATAACATACAGGAAACACCAAACACCCACACGAGGAACTCTCACATAACATACAGGTAACACCAAGCACCCACACAAGGGACATTCATATAGCATACAGGTAACATCAATCACCCACACAAGGGACACTCTCATAGCATACAGGTAACTCCAAAACACTCACACAACAGACACTCACATCGCATACAGGTAACACCACACACCCACACAAGAACAGTTTCATAGCATACAGGTAACACTAAACACCCACACAACGGAGAGTTACATAGCATACAGGCAACACCAAACACACACACAACGGACAGTTACAAAGCATACAGGTAACACCAACCACCCACACAACGGACAGTCACATAGCATACAGGTCACAACAAACACCCACACAAGGAACACTCATATAGCATACAAGTACCACCAAAACACCCACACAACAAACAGTCACATAGCATACAGGTCACACCAAACACCCACACCACGGACAGTGACATAGCATACAGGTAACTCCAAACACCCACACAAGTGATCACATAGCATACAGGCAACACCAAAACACCCACACAAGATCACATTTCACCCACACAAGTGATCACATAGCATACAGGGCACACCAAACACCCACACCACGGACAGTGACATAGCATACAGGTAACCCCAAACACCCACCCAACGGACACTCACATAGCATACAGGTCACAACAAACACCCACACAAGGGAAACTCACATAGCATACAGTAGCATTCAGGTTACACCAGACACCCATACAAGTGATCACATAGCATACAGGTAGGACAAAAGAGCAACACAAGGGAGAGGTACATAGCATACAAGAAACACCAAACACCCACACCCGTGATCACATAGCATACAGGGAACACCAAACACCCACAAAACGGACAGTTACAAAGCATACAGGTAACACCACACACCCACACAAGAACAGTTACATAGCATACGGGTAACACCAAACACCCGCACAACGGACAGTCACATAGCATACAGGTCACAACAAACACCCACACAAGGGCCACTCACATAGCATACAGGGAACACCAAAACACTCACACACCAGACACTCACATAGCATACAGGTACCACCACACACCGACAGTTACATAGCATTCAGGTTACACCAGACACCCATACAAGTGATCACATCACATACAGGTAACACCAAAACCCCCACACAACGGACAGTTGTTACATAGCATACAGGTAACCCCAAACCCCCACACAAAGGACACTCACATAACATGAAGGAATCAACAAACACCCACACAAGGGACATTCATATAGCATACAGGTAACTCCAAACACCCACACAACAAACAGTCACATAGCATACAGGTTACACAAAACACCCACACAAGGGGCACTCACATAACATGAAGGTAACACCAAACACCACACAAGGGACACTCTCATAGCATACAGGTAACCCCAAACCCCCACACAACGGACAGTTGTTACATAGCATACAGGGAACACCAAACACCCACAAAACGGACAGTTACAAAGCATACAGGTAACACCAACCACCCACACAACGGACAGTCACATAGCATACAGGGCACACCAAACACCCACACACCGGACAGTTACATAGCATTCAGGTTACACCAAACGCCCATACAAGTGATCACATCACATACAGGTAACACCAAGCACCCACACAAGGGACATTCATATAGCATACAGGTAACATCAAACACCCACACAAGGACACTCACATAACAAACAGGTAACACCAAACACACACACAACGGACAGTTACATAACATACAGGTCACACCAAACACCCACACGAGGAACACTCATATAGCATACAAGTAACACCAAAACACCCACACAAGATCACATTTAACTTCAAATCACAGTAAGCCTTCACAAAGTCACTTACTTTCAAATTACACATACATTACAATTGATGAGTTGCCCAGCAAAACCACAAAGAGGTGTAAACAACTTTAGTATCCAAGAAGATACATCCTTAGTTATTATATATAATTATAAAGTGCATATTAAATTGATAATTTCCTCAATAAATTGAAGTAACATGTTCCGTATTAAAAATTAACTTGGAATTACTTTTTTATTTACAAAATCTAGCTCCATTAGGTAGCTAGCCTCTTATGCAGACAGCTAAACTGAGCCTGCATCCCTCTGAGTTGTAAACACCAAAATAGATGTATACAAGAAGGTGTACTATCCAATCTCAAAACAACAAATGTGTTTTGTTTGCTTTTAAGTTGAAAGCTTCTAAATTGCATTTTCCCTCAGGACTCTAGAGCATTGGGCAGCATTTTAACGTCCTAGAATGTTCATTTTCCAATTTGCTGTTTTTCGTATTGAGTTGGCCTATTGTTGGAAATACTGTACAGCCTGTCCACGTCTGATTTTCTAGTAATAACAGACACCTGACCTGTTGTCCAATACTGATTGATTTATCAATAACAAAACAATTAAAATGAATATTCTGATGTTTAAATACCATCTTCATGTAACATATTATGAATAAGAAAGATTAAAATGTGTAGTGTTTAAACTTCACTTGTGTTTTCACTATACAGATTTTATCAATATCTGTTGATCCATATATATAGTTTGGGCTGCAGTTGCTGAGTAGTGTAGGCCACAGGGACCTGAGAATTTGTTATAGCTATATTTGGACTTACACCGAGGTGTTCAGAGTAATATTACAGGATTCAGGGATATAAAATGCCCCCTCACCCCCGATGAAGGTATATATACGAGGAGGGAGGAAAGCTCTCCATGTTGGAAAATCACATAGCTTTCTCGCATCAAAAATCATAATTCTAGTGGTCTTACAAAGAAATGATCGGTACCGTTGGAAAGATGGATAATTTTCCTTTTAGATACTAGACGCAAGATCAAAGTTCGCACTTGCCTTGAAAAAATCTTGAATTTGGAGTGTGGTCTGGAAAAGCCTTGAATTTCACTTCAGGCCTTGAAAAACCTTGAATGCTGATCTATGGCCTTGAAAAGTCGTTAAATTCTGACGTACAGTTATTCATATATGATTTCCCAAAGTTAAAATTCCAGAATTATGTATAAAACACAACAGGTTTTTTCGGAACTTAAAACCAGTGTTGTGATGCATCGTTGTGTTCATCCTGTTATTGTCTCTGTGTGACAGATGGGAAACTCCTAGCTGTCTTCTTTTATTGTAGTAATGATAAGAAAAGTTCTGAGAGTTCTGAGTGAGGTTTTCCAAATGGGATGCTTGTTATTTCAACGTCTTGTGGTAGGGGTCGTCTAACAAGCTCTCACAATGTGGAAATGCATGTTTCTTTTACAATGGACCCGCTATGCAATATTTAAATCATTGATAAAATAATTCAAAGGTGATAATTCCAAGGCCAATGTTATATTGCGTCACAAGATCATGGCTATAAAGAAAATTGGTGAGTACATGCTAAAATCATGCATGAACAGTGCCAATCTCAGGTACTAGAGCAGTGCATATAAACATCAACTTTGGTGTTTGCTGTTAAAGGTATTCTCTCAAAATTGCTTACAAGCTACTGTAAAATTAATGCAGTTTTTCCATGAAGAGTCCCCCCATTATCTCCTTACTAGAAAAAGCTTTCTTGTGTCCTCTTCTGGGCAGCACTGACGGGCCTTTGGAATAAATAAAATTCATGTTTTACTGTATACGCCCCCCCTCCCCGAGTTAAGATCTATGATAGCCCTATTAAAAGGAAGACTGTTAAATTTAGGGATTCAAGGTGGCCACTATGGCCTCTGCTTGGAGGGGATAGTACCGGTAGTATGCCTGTTACTTCTAGTTAAGTCTGTTTTCATTCTAGTACAGCATGCAATGTATGACAAATTATTATTTTGTCTTCTTTGGTTTCCTTGTTCTCAATGTTTCTGTCTAAACTAGCTTTTATTGCACTTTGACCCTCTGAAAAATCTGGATTTATATTATATACTTAAATAGTTCTTCTCTATATAGTGTCTACATAAATCAGGAAGAGGATCTTTTCAGTCTGTTTTAGATTTTTATTGCCAAGTACCTTTGTCTTAAGCGTCTGACAACAGGTTATTGCTAGGCCGCGGAGCCCGATTGTTAGACAGTTCTAATCTAAGTTTTGTGTGAAGATATATATCAAAAAAGAATAAAAGTCAATTCAATTCTGAAACAAAAGTTCAAAACTTTTATTTCTCAATTTCATTTATTATTCAGATAAATGTAAATGACCAACATGTTTTGGGGACAATAGTTTGGAAGAAAATGACAAATGTTTGCTTTACATTAAATGAAAAGAAATTTATTGTAGACTAAAAAACTATTAAATTTATTAACACTTATTCCACATTAAAAGGAAAACTGCTGGTACACTAAGACAAGAACTGACAATGTGTTATTTAGGTTTTATCAGTATGTTATTTCGTGAGTGACAATGCATTGTTTTATGCCCATGAACATTTTTGATGGGAGGTAATGGGGAGCATCTATTTGTTGGTGTGTCTGTCCATCCATTTGTCTGTCTGTCCTCACTTTGGTTTGCACCAGAAAACTTGCTTACATTCTTTCAATTTTAATTTAAGTTGGCTGGAATGAACAATGGACAAAAACAAAGGTTAAGTTCAATTTTAGCAAACTCTTTCACATTATAACTTTTTCAGGAAGCCACTGAGTGATATTAATTATTCTTTCATTTTCAGTGTTTTGTTTCTGGTTTTAATAAGAATATTTTTAAATGTGTTACAGTATAGTACGAGACTCCAGCTCATCAGAACGTTCCATCTCCCCACCTCCAAAGCGAAAAAAGAAATCAAAGTCAAGGTATGTTATAACCATTTTTTTGTGCTTGAATTTTCTAGTTCACGTTGTCTTTGAAATACCAGCTGTGGCACTATTTTCTTTTATACATCTAAGACACACCAGGATTTGAACTGGCCAGGTTTTAGTCCCTGTCTGAAGAACTGTAGATCTCATTGGCTGACAGGTTGGTAGGGGTCCACAGAAACAGGCACACAATAGTTTTTGATGACTTGATATTGATATCCCACTGTTCATAGAGTTAAAGGGGGCTCTTTACCTAGTACATCAGATAAGAATAATGTTTGTTCGGAAAACTTGTACGGGAAAACACCAACAAAAATGGAAAAGTGGTTACCTAAAGGCCAGCACTAAGGCTGGGGACTACCACCAGACAGACATATGGGAAAGTGGTTACCTATAGACAAACACTAAGGCTGGGGACTACCACCAGACAGACATATGGGAAAGTGGTTACCTATAGACAAACAATTAGACTGGGGACTACCATCAGACAAACAAATGGGAAAGTGGTTACCTAAAGGCCAACACTAAGGCTGGGGACTACCACCAGACAGAAATATGGGAAAGTGGTTACCTATAGACAAACACTAAGGCTGGGGACTGCCACCAGACAGACATATGGGAAAGTGGTTACCTATAGACAAACACTTAGACAGGGGACTACCACCAGACAGACAAATGGGAAAGTGGTTACCTAAAGGCCAGCACTAAGGCTGGGGACTACCACCAGACAGACAAATGGGAAAGTGGTAACCTAAAGGCCAACACTAAGGCTGGGGACTACCACCAGACAAACAAATGGGAAAGTGGTTACCTATAGACAAACACTAAGGCTGGGGACAACCACCAGACAGACATATGGGAAAGTGATTACCTATAGACAAACATTAAGGCTGGGGACTACCACCAGACAGACAAATGGGAAAGGGGTAACCTAAAGGCCAACACTAAGGCTGGGGACTATCACCAGACAAACAAATGGGAAAGTGGTTCCCTATAGACAAACACTAAGGCTGGGGACTACCACCAGACAGACATATGGGAAAGTGATTACCTATAGCAAACAATTAGACTGGGGACTACCAGACAGACAAATGGGAAAGTGGTTACCTAAAGGCCAACACTAAGGCTGGGGACTACCACCAGACAGACATATGGGAAAGTGGTTACATATAGACAAACACTTAGATTGGGGACTACCACCAGACAGACATATGGGAAAGTGGTTACCTATAGACAAACACTAAGGCTGGTGACTACCACCAGACAGACATATGGTAAAGTGGTTACCTAAAGGCCAACACTAAGGCTGGGGACTACCACCAGACAGACATATGGGAAAGTGGTTACCTAAAGGCAAGCACTAAGGCTGGGGACTACCACCAGGCAGACTTATGGGAAAGTGATTACCTAAAGGCCAACACTAAGGCTGGGGAATACCACCAGACAGACATATGGGAAAGTGGTTACCTATAGCAAACAATTAGACTGGGGACTACCACCAGACAGACAAATGGGAAAGTGGTTACCTAAAGGCCAGCACTAAGGCTGGGGACTACCACCAGACAGACATATGGGAAAGTGGTTACCTACAGGCCAACACTAAGGCTAGGGACTACCACCAGACAGACATATGGGAAAGTGGTTACCTAAACCCTCCTGCAAGATCAGGAAAGGACATAGCTGCTATATCACACTGCAGTAATTGTACGAGATGACTTACATGGGAGTCCCTTAAGAGTTTATCTGCTTTCATCCTCTCAGCACTATACCTATTCTTTCTTTGTTAAAGTGTCTCCCAAGTCACCTTCATTTGTCATTGGCTGGTGTGAAAACATCAAATTCTGAACAAAACAAAGTCAAACCTAGAGCCAAACGCTTAGAGGAGAGGTTACCTAGAGTCAAACAGTTAGAGGAGAGGTTAAGGAGAGGTTACCTAGAGTCAAACAATTAAAGGAGAGGTTAACTAGAGTCTAACAGTTACAGGAGAGGTAACCTAGAGTCAAACAGTTAGAGGAGAGGTTACCTAGAGTCAAACAGTTAGGAGAGGTTACCTGGAGCGAAACAGTTAGAGGAGAGGTTACCTGGAGTCAAACAGTTAGAGGAGAGGTTACCTGGAGTCAAACAGTTAGAGGAGAGGTTACCTAGAGTCAAACAGTTAGAGGAGAGGTAACCCAGAGTCTAACAGTTAGAGGAGAGGTAACCCAGAGTCTAACAGTTAGAGGAGAGGTTACCTAGAGTCAAACAGTTAGAAGAGAGGTTACCTAGAGTCAAATAGTTACAGGAGAGGTTAGAAGTACCCAGAGTCAAATAGTCAAAGAGGTTACCTTGAGTCAAACAGTTAGAGGAGAGGTTACCTAGAGTCATTAGTTAGAGGAGAGGTTACCTGGAGTCAAACAGTTAGAGGAGAAGTTACCTAAAGTCAGACAGTCAGAGAAGAGGTTACCTAGAGTCAAACAGTTAGAGGAGAGGTTGTCTAGAGTCAAACAGTTAGAGGAGAGGTTGCCTAGAGTCAGATAGTTACAGGAGAGGTAACCTAGAGTCAAACAGTTACAGGAGAGGTAACCTAGAGTCAAACAGAGGAGAGGTTACCTAGAGTCAAACAGTTAGAAAAGAAGTTACCTAGAGTCAAACAGTCAGAGAAGAGGTTACCTAGAGTCAAACAGTAAGAGGAGAGGTAACCCAGAGTCAAACAGTTAGAGGAGAGGTTGCCTAGAGTCAAACAGTTACAGGAGAGGTAACCTAGAGTCAAACAGAGGAGAGGTTACCTAGAGTGAAACCGTTAGAAAAGAGGTTACCTAGAGTCAAACAGTTAGAAGAGAGGTTACCTAGAGTCAAACAGTAAGAGGAGAGGTAACCCAGAGTCAAACAGTTAGAGGAGAGGTAACCTAGAGTCAAAAAGAGGAGAGGTTACCTAGAGTGAAACAGTTAGAGGAGAGGTTACCTAGAGTTAAACAGTTAGAGGAGAGGTTACCTAGAGTGAAACAGTTAGAGGAGAGGTAACCTAGAGTCAAACAGTTAGAGGAGAGGTTACCTAGAGTCAAACAGTTCGAGGAGAGGTTACCTAGAGTCAAACAGTTAGAAAAGAGGTTACCTAGAGTCAAACAGTTAGAGGAGTGGTTACCTAGAGTCAAACAGTTAGAAGAGAGGTAACCTAGAGTCAAACAGTTAGAGGAGAAGTAACCCAGAGTCTAACAGTCAGAGGAGAGGTTACCTAGAGTCAAACAGTCAGAGGAGAGGTTACCTAGAGTCAAACAGTCCGAGGAGAGGTTACCTAGAGTCAAACAGTAAGAGGAGAGGCTACCTAGAGTCAAACAGTTAGAGGAGAGGCTACCTAGAGTCAAACAGTTAGAGGAGAGGTTACCTAGAGTCAAACAGTTAGAGGAGAGGTTACCTAGAGTCAAACAGTTAGAGGAGAGGTTACTTAAAACAAAACAAAACAAAACTTAGAGACAACATATAGGCAATTACTGAGGTAAGAGGTTCAACTTAGAAGCAAACCATTGGACAAGAAGTTAACATGGGAGGCATGGTAAAGACATTGGTACAGGCTGTTATATATATTTGTAGTCAACCAGAGCAGGGGATATGTGTAGGCATCCAAGTATATGAAACAGGGAGCTCTTTTGGGAGAGGAGATAGGAAAGTAAAATAGTTTGAAGAACTTAATCTTGGGCATTGTTTTTAATGGCGGTAGAAACAATACCAGTAATTTGTACTTATGTGCTTCAAGGTGCTGTGTTACCTTGTCTAGGGCGATATACCTGTAGTTAGTTTGAGGAAACTCATAAGGACACAGTGGTGTGTTTAAGAGTAATGGAGCACTTGTTTGTCACACTTATAGCTGTTTGGATAACCATCTGTTAGTTTGTTCTTCCATCTCTGATTCTGTCTATCACTCATTTTTAATGCAGCCAGCTTTGCTGGAACATAATATTCAGTGATTATTATGATGTGATATGTAACCTTCAAAATGTTTTTAGTCACCCCTGGGGGAACCCCAGCGGGGACTATTAATTTTGGTTTCAGTCCCAGATTTTGACCTCCACTGTTTCAGCTTTCGTGTGTTTGCTTCTGTCGCTAATTACAAGCTTTTGGATTACTCCATTTTCGATTTTAGGAATAGATCTAACATACAACCAAAAGACGTTCCGAATTTCAAACTAAAGATGTTCCGATTATGAATCAGTCACTTTTGAGGTTCCTGAAGGGGTAGACTGTTATAGTATATATTGCTATTGATTGATTGAGATGTTTATGTCTGACCAATGACTATATTGGTAAAATTTCTTTTTAAACCAAATAAAATTTTGGAATAAAAAGTTCACGTAGAAAAGCTCAATAACGTCTCTTTTTCTTTATCATCTATTCACGTAATGACAAAAGAAAACGTCACCTAGCAAAAGGGCAAACTTGAATTGACATGCGGGTTTGTGTTTGCCGCCGTCACACTACATTAAAGCATACGCGCAATTTGGCGGACACAAACAACATTTTGTATCGCTTTGCATTTCTCTGCAGTCCGGCGAAACTTCTAATCGAACGGCAGGTGCCGAACATGCGGGATTTAAGGGACATTCGTAATCAGTAGAAAGGTGCCGCCTTCCCAGCGGTAAACGGCAAGCCTGAATCAAGTTCGTCCAAAGTTTACGACATTTATGGAAATTGTTTTATTTTTTTAATTTACATACCATTTTCAGCCGTCACATTTTAATTTCAAATGGTGATATGTTATAAATAAATGCGCCATTATTCAAACAAATATTTCATCAACATTCATATCCCGCCTGACAACGTTCACAACTTTAGGTCACTTTACAACATAACACGTTACGGCAGAACTTGAAATGGAAAACCGGAAGAGTGAAGGGTCATGTAAGGTAAGTAGAACATTGCCATATTCAGAATTTATAATAAAAGCGCTCGACACCGTTTAATGTTATCGTTTCTGCGGTGTGGAGGCAGTGGTGACCTCGAGGTACCGGCAAAACATGGTATTGACATTGTGCTCATTTTGAGCAAGATACAAAGTGTATTAAGCAAAACTGCATATTTATGCATGTTTTTTAATCGTTGATTAATTCTCATGTTTTTCGGACGAAGTTCCGGTAATTTTTGTGTCAGTTTACAGACGATGGCCAAATGTCTAAAATATCTTTGTGTTGTGTCCAGCAGGTCACATAGTAACGAGATAAAGCTTGATAAAATGGCTGCGCGGAAATATATAACGGGCGGAAACCAATGACTAGACGATATTGACAGTTTTACAAACAAATAATTTTTACTGAGAAGTATCAACTGATAATATGGAGTTAAATAACCACGAAAACAATACCAGTACAAACTAGTGATAGGGATTGGAAATTCCTTAATTATCAGCCTTTAGTTTTGGTGAAAATGATTTGCTCCAATATGCATGTTCAGTTCTCTTATATCATTTTTTTTTCATTTTAACAGATGAACTATCTTATCCTGGCACTTTGGCATGTTTGAATGTGGAAGGCCTTGAAATTGGGATGAAGAAGGCCAGGGAATGTCACAGAAATTTAAAAAAAAATGAAATTATTTGCAGTGTTTGTGTTTTATGGTCATAAAACATGGAACATTTTCTTCAAGTAAATCAACCACATGCTTTCTTATTATATCCTAGTAGGTTGGCATGGTTACCTAAACAGCGTGTATGCATACCTGGTCATTGTTAGACTATTTTGATTGACAGGTGGAAATATGTCAGTTGTAGCTTGGTCAATGATTTATTATACTGAAATAATCATACAGGAGATGGGGTGACTTTCATGTCATTTTGACATATTTCTAGTTTTTTTATTAATTGTGTTTAAATAAAAACAATAAACAATCCAGATAGACATTCCAAAGTTCAAGGTCACATATGAAATAAATAAGGGTTCAAAAGTGAACCATCAAACAATATTTAATAAAACTCCTTTTGTGTATTTTGACTATGCTGTCAGGTAACTACTTACATGTTTCTGCCCAAGGTCAAGGTCAAAGAAGAAGCTGTGAATTTGTGGCCATACCAATAAACAGAGGCCATTTCACTACTACTTCACGTCATTTAAATGAAATTTTAGGTGCAACGTGAATCATGACTAAAGAGTATGTGACTCTCTGAGGTCTGTTAATGTTAAGACAAGGTCACATCAAGATGTGAAGGTCAAGTCAATGTCACTGAACTTTGTTTTATACAACTCGGTGAATGGATGTGTCTGGACAGTGCCACTTGGGGGAGAGTGTTGGCGTCCCTGTCACCCAAGGTTCATTTTGTCATTATTAAAAACAGATTATCTACTTTGGGTGTACTTCCTTTGGCAATGACAGGAAAACTATAGATTCTTAAGGAACATGCCTGCCTGGACCTGTTTTCACACCTCTTACATAAACAAGTGAACGCTGTTTGGTCATTATGTTGTTGTCTGTTACAGGGATGACAGTAGTTCCCCTGAGAGAAGACAGAAGAAAAAGAAGAGCAAAAAACATAAGCGAGATCGGTATGTGTAGATCCATTGTCAGTGTTTCACTATTTTGATGTTGTCAAGTCGTTCATCACCATTTCTGTCCAGTCAGCGGTTTACATGTGTGTTACACAAGAGAGTTCTGTTATATGTAGACACCCAGATCTCTTGGCGCCAGCCAATGAAAGGATTTGGTTCAAGTTTGATGGGGGTAATGCATGCACCTTTTTAGAAAATAAGTTCATCAAAAAGCCTGCTTTAAGATTGTAAATATTGGCTATGTTTGTATGACGGAGGAGGTAAGAAGCTGGAGGGTAACCTTTTGACTTCAGCCTAGAGGACCACGTCCCATGTAATCTCTATATTAACAACTTCAGCATTTTTTTATTCTTAATTATATGAAATTGACTTTTTTTATTAATTTTAATGTTGGATATCAAAATAAATTTTAAAATTAAACACATCATATCACGAAACTTTTTAATGTAAATAAATAATAAATATTGAAGTATCAGAATTATACCGTTTACATTTAAGTTTATTTACCATTAAAAGGCTTTTAAGGTCTATAAATGTGAAGAATTTTATTGGAGCAACACTGTAAAATGATTTAATGAATAAGTTTAAGTGTGTTAAGAGTTTAAAGAATTTATATACTTACATACAAGTCTTGGCACTTCTAACAAACCACACAAGATCAACCCGAATTAAAGGGAGACAATCTACTTTGGTTTGTGAGGTAGACAAGGAGTGTATCGGTAGTTTTGGACTACAAACCAGTCATATTTTAAGGTTCCACTGCTAAAAACTTAACCAAAAGAAATACTCAAATTTAGTTACTATTATCTGCTATTATCATCTACAGTATTAATTTCGACCTATAACTGTGGATCCCTCTTGTTGTGTTGGTTTGGACTGATCCTGCCGTAGTAGCAACGTTTTTGTTTGATATTTTATTTCTAATGTCTATACACTGATACAACTTTTTTCCTCTTTTTATTTTTTAATGCTTATTGTTTAAGCTGCGAGAAAATATGATCTCTGATGTCCAAGGTAATATCGCTGCGTTCTATTTTCTGTTCATGTTACGTTCGTTCAAATTGTTGGAATATACAACAAAAGTCCATGCACCTATGACTTGGGAAACTGTGAGGTTCCTCCATTGACTGTGCTGTTAGTAATCTTGGTCCTATACACTGACCACAGGCACTGATTCGTGGAGTTATACTGAACTGCTGACTATAGGCCACAAATATTTACGTATTGTCATCATGTTGTGCAGGACATATTTTTTTTATCTTTGTTTCATTATTTCATTATGTGTTTATAATTAATACACTGATTTGATAAGTCAGTGTACGTGTTCATGATACGATATCAACATTTTATGTAATCTTCAAATCTTAAAAGAATTTAGGATTTTTTAATATTTTCTCTTTCAATTATTGTATTATGTTGATTTCACTGTCTCTCGTCACTGTAACTGTAGTATTTTTCTATAAACAATAATTGCATTCAATGTAAAGCTTGTTTCCGTACTCAATATAATGTACCAATATTAAAAATAGCCAATGAAATTTAATGAAGCAACTGAATAAAAAAGTTAAAACAAATAAAGTCCTTGAAAAACAATCATACAAGAATATGATGATCAAGTTAACAAAACAATATAACCGAAAAAAGTCTGGAATTTCCAAAAGAAAATTGAATAGGATTCAAAAATGAAGAAAGTTCCTTTTTTTGTAACTGATGACTGGTAACCATGCAGGTCAACATCTGTCAGACTGGATTGTCTCCCCTTACACCTGTAGGCATGCCATGTCAACATGTTCCATTGCGTTTCATTGGCTGTTTTACTTGAAATGGTAATTCTGTTACATGTTGGTGGTACTGTAATGATCCTATATTACAGGTATGATATAGACCTCTGTTATGTTTGCCATACACGTTATATGTTATTTCACGATTAAATGTCCGCTCCGTGACATGAACTTTACAAGCAGTTCTGTAATTCTTAGAAGGAGATAAAGGTGTACCAACAGATTTCTTTTTGGACAAAACTAACTAGCAACTGTTATATTGTATTATCAGAAATGTGATGCAAATCATTTAGCCATAACTTTTCTATTCATTATAAAATACTCTCTTTTTATTTTTGGAAATATTGCATACGGTAAACCTTCGGTCAGTTCGAACAAAATCAAATAAATATTGATGAACCTGTTCAGATTATACGAAATTATGCTTCAGAAAATAAGCGTGAGTTTGAACTATCGGCAAAAATTTCGGCAAAGTGTTAATCAAGTCACAAACATATATCCGACATATATCCAATGTAAGGTCGATACGTAACAACGACGGCCTGGCATAGAACAATGGCACATTTATAAATGGGTAAAATGATAGTATATTATTTAATTCGACGTTAATTGATCATTAAACTTTCTTCATTTCGAGATAATTATGATCGTTATTGCGAAGCAGAGGCCATTGTGTAGGCCCCAAAACAGTACACGTTTTATTTGTGACACAAAAGTTAGACTACCTAGTTTGTATCAGATACCTAAATATGGAGTCTCTGTGTGGTTAGGTTTTATTTGAATCAGAAACTATTTTATATATTACTTTGTAATGAATGGTCCGTTAAATAAATTGAAAACATAGTCTACATAACCTGTTGCGTTTACAAAGCGCAACTGTAAATATAGGTCTATATGTTAGTAAAATTAGGTAAGAACATCAACATGTCTGCTTATAAATTATAAGTGATATAGTCCTAATACCTACCAAACTTATTTGACACCTTCAAAATTACCCATCGCTACTTGGGACACCTGTGGATTGTTTGGACTTGGACATGAATGCTAATCATGTCACTCACAATGGCTGGGCGGCCGATCCCTACCGCGACATCTCGCGTGTCCTGCCCTACCTGGTGTGAGCTAGGCAATAATTAAGGGATGTCTGGTCGCAATTAAATAATCAAAATGCTTAGTTAACACTGTATTTGACAATACACGGGCAATTTCTTAGTTTGCCATACAGCGTGACATCAGTTCATACTGATCGCATGTTATTTATACATTGTCGGGGCCTAAGTTGCAATTGACTGTCTCATTCACGATATATTTTTCAAACAATGTAAAAAATGAATCAACGCTAAAACCTGTGACATATATTTATGGTTTGTCTGTCACAACTATACTGCAATGCTCACACATACAACCCATTACCCTAAACGTGTCTGTTGATCAAAGAATTGGCATTTTTCCGGGGCCGATCGCCGCGAGCTTTCAATGGAGTTTGCCGGAGAAAAAAAAATACTTTACGTTCTTCATTTGACAAGTTCGGACTATCCGAAATAGGGTCAATCAGAGTTTGAACTATCACTAGCTAGAAAATTATTGTTTTATTGGAAAAAAAACGTGTTCGAACTATCAGCCGATTCGAACTGACCGGAGGTTTACCGTAATTCAGAATTTGTTCACGTCAACTTAAAAAAAATGCCAAATTTTACAGAGAAAAATAGCAATATGTGCAATATGTTTTCTGAGTACAAGCTTTTGACGGTTGTAGTTAATATCCGGAAAGCGAACTGGAGTAAAACCTGACTGGCCTGTGCTTTGTTTCTTTCATACTGAATCAATGTCAGATTCAACTTGTCTTTTTGAAAGTAAGAGTGATATCAAACGACAAACCCTAACCCTCCTGAGATAAAAGAAAAAGACTTTATAAACTGCTTTAAAAAGTGTTGACTGTGTTGCCATGTTCTGACACGGACTTGAAACATTTTGATTAACATAATTGCTGATTACCAATCAATGATAGAAATATGGCCATAATCTTATTTACCTTTATCTGTTGTGAAAACACCTGCTGCCATTGATGTAGAGCCAGTCGTTTACTTCAATAATGTCTGATAAAAATCAGCAAATCCGATTCTGAATCAATATATTTTCATCGAAAACTTGATTGTTTCCATGTCAAACCATAATACTAGGGAAAAGAGGCATAGTGACGAAGAATTCCATTTTGTCATCTTAAATAATTTATCATCATGGCCATTGATGATGCATTCTTCGGGGGGGAAACAGAAAACATTCAGCCAAGTGCTTCCTCCACAGAACTAGATTGAGGATTGTGGTTTAGTGACATATAGTGACACTGACTGTAAGGTAAAATAGTTTCTAGCTGTCTAAGCTGTTACGTACCTTCTGTGTGATGATTTGTATGGTACTATCATATTCTCAAACAATCTCCGTTTGACCAAAGGGACAAAAATAGAAACTAGAGTGGCAGTTCGGAAATTCTTACATTCTTTATCGATTGATATTTTCAGTGGGAAGTTTGTACTAGATTCTAACAAAGCATGATGTTCTGTGTGACGTTCTAAACACAAAGAGAAACAGGCAGCAGAAAGTTGACTATGAAGCGGTTATTCATAACACATCAGAGAATAGGATTTATTATGAAAACATTTTAAAATTCAGCTGAAACCACAGAAAATAGATTCTGCTTGTTTTGACGTCATTTTAACGTAACAGCTTTCAATTTGGATCTCATTCCGATTGCCGACTAAGGTAAGGGTTTAGGTGAGTGCAGTTTTACGGAGTACCTAATTAAGGTTTGGTCCCCCGGGAATACACTGGGGATACAATTAGTATGTAAAAGGCTGCAGCAACATCAACGACAGAGGCCTGTAACTTTTATTTGATACAGTGTACCGGAACACATCAACACCCAAGTGTAACTTACTTTTGTGTTGGGAGCCACTCAGTATTATTGTAATGCAAATAGAAGGAAGCAACAAGCAAACTTTAATAAACATTTAAATGAACCAAGAATAATAACAGAAAATTGATTAAATAATGAGTGCTTTTGAAAACTGTAACTTTTATCTGGAATTTTATACTGTTTCCCTGATCGACAACCAGTTGAGTGGTATGGCAGATATCATCTATTCGTCTGTACTATTTCCATGCCTGATCACGTTGGAGATCTACATTATGTTAATGCGTAGGGACGAGAGAAGTTGG